ATGTGATTCGTGGATAATATTTTCATTTTAGGAAATTCGTTTGGAGGAGAAAATGAAGGGCAACGAATCATTTTATTCATAATCATTTAAACGAATTATTTTAATGAAATTAAAACGTTTGATAATCATAATTGTTTTGCGAATCTTACTGTGTATATATTATAACTTATATACATTATTTAACTGTCATTATGCGATAATATTAACTTCCTTTGATATTCTTCTCAAACTTCGAAACATTAATTAATAATGATTATCGCGAATTGATCGGTTGGCCGGACAATCAAATAATCTTATTGAAACGGAGTAATACGATGCCCGTTGTTTGTACTGCAAAATAATAGAAATCAGTTATAACTTATATTTTATCGACACTCGGTCGACAACAGTAATAATAATTAACGTACTTATAATAAATATTATAACAATAAGAATCTACCGTATTATATACATACCGGGTACCGGGGTACCTACCTTAGATGATACATACTGGGTAAAGCTATGCGTATATCACGCGGAGTGTGTTGTTGAACCCGGTCGGCCCGTTCGGCCCCGATGAATTTATTGCGCATGCGTCAGGAACGAAAAGATAGCGCGGGACGGGGTAACATAATTGCGGTAATGTTATGCGCATGCTCAGTGGTGACATCAGGGTCGAATGGACCAACCAAATCGGCTTCAAGATTTTAAATCATAGCTCTATCCAGTATGTATTATCTAAGATAAGTACCGTTAGATTATTATCATAACCAAGATTTTATAGATTAGACTATATTCGTACAAGAAAATTCCATTATTATAATAATTGTGTTTAGGAATTAGGAAAAACATGTACAAGACTCAGAAAATATTTTATTTTTATTTCCTCATTATCATAATATTTTTTCCTTAACTTAACTACTTCCTCATCAGAATCCTTCAAAATGTCATTATGATGATAAACAAAAGAGTATTTCTATATTTTCGAGAATAAACTTAAAATTGACACAATCATTAAACGTAAGCTAAAGAATATTTTAATGTACTAATATATTATTATGCTCTAAACTGTGCTCGAATTGTGTATGTGTGCGTGTGGGGGGGGGAAGTGGGACACTGTTCCATTACTATATTTTTAATTATATTTGAAATCACACCTAATAATTGTTTTCCTTAGAATAGTAAGTTTTTTTAGCATATCTAGAGGTAGATGTTATTGTTATAATTAAAAAAAATATTAATTATTATATTTTTAATATAAATAAATTTCTATTTGAAAATATATTAATTTTAATTGCTCATAAGAAGTCGTTACCTAATAACAATAATTAATTGTTTGAGGACTGATGGTTGGGGGTGTGTGAGGTGGGACTTATTCACCAAAAGTTTGTTTGAATTCAATAATTTCATGTGATTCTAATGTTTTTCTATTCTATATAGGATTCCTTTTTTCATTTTCAATTCGAGCACCGGTTCTAAATATACGCTTAAATTGTACCACATGTAAGTATTTATTAATTACACAAATATAATATTATTACATAATAAATTAATAAATTGTCATTTCATACATTTTACAAGGATGACAGCTGTTCAACGAATAATAATGACTAGATAGTACATACTACATTACTACATAGTATAAAAATTTCTCGATATTACCACAATGATATACAATCAAATCAATATCAATCATTGATTAATGATTTTTAAAAAAATTAAATTAAATTTCAAACTAGTGTTACGTAAATTAACCTAAATAAAACTATTTAATAATATTAAGATACCTATATATTATAATAAGTGCGGTATTTCACGAAATGTATTGTTTTATGTATGTACACAATTACCGACACGTACAATAAAATATCTAAGTAATATAGGTAGGTATATATTATATTATATTAAGTAATATTACATTATATTATTATAGTCAAACGAATTCAGGTAAGTATACAACTAATCTGGCGTTTACATACATACATATTATAATTATTATTTTATTATTATTGTACAAGAAGATGATAAGACGCAATTCAATTAATATTTCAATAAACATATTATAATATAGTTGTCGATAGGTCAATCCGATCGATTCAAATCAGTACCTATTATTAATAATAATATGTACCTATAATATGATATATATATTAAATTAATATATTATAGTTATACCGATATATATAATACTATAGTAATTGCGACGAACATATAGTACAGTTATTACTTATTATATAGGTATATAATATTATAATATAATACAATAATTATTGTAGGTAAACATTTATTTTCATATTTCATGCATGAGATATACACGGGACGAATTATGTAGGTACCTACACACGTAATTAATATTGATTAATATTACATTGGTATCTACCTAAACAGGGTACTTGATTCGTGATGTTTGGGGTCCGGTACAAACGAGGGGGGGGGGGTGCATTAGGAATAAAAGCTACTCACCAATTATACGATGACTGTATAAAAGAGAGAAAAATAACACTATCTCGATCCACGACCGATGATAATAATAATGTGTTCACACAGCTTATAAAAGCTGTGTATTATTATTATATGATGGACGTGTGCCAAGAGCGCTTGTTTCGTGTTTCCCTGGTAATATTGCACTGTTGTCTCGAAAAGGCCTGTGAGCAACGCAGGTACAGCGAGAAAGATTCTAGGATTGCGTTTTTTATCATCGGTAGAAGTACCTCGGCGGTATACATTTCAGGTTCAACTTGAACCACGTTGCTATACGATACATAACACAGGTCCAGAGTTATGACCAGTATTTCGTGACCAGTAACCAGCTAGGTAGTAGATATGAATAGATATCGTGTAATTTAGATCATATATGATCATATAGTATGATCTAAGTTGTGTAATATAATTAATAATATTTTTGAAATTTGTGACTTTTCAAGATATGCGTGACAGCTGGTGACTACATAATGGCGACTGCAACCCGATTCATCAAATTAAATTTTTTATACAAGTACACGATTCCGCGTATTTTTAAATGCCAATGTGCAATACCGAAAAACACCTATTATTGAAAAACGTACAGTTTTGTGCAAAAGACGACTCTGTCGTTTTGATATAAACACTTTTAAGAAAACTTTATTTTGTTTTACATTTTACACATTGTTGGACTTTTTTTATCAATTTGATATTCTGACTTGGTTTTACGGTTTATTTCCATTACAGATGTGTTTTGGGAATTATAGGAAGTTTCATAAATCTTAATTTTATACTAAAACATTATGCTTTTTCGTATGGTAGCAGCATTTATACCTATACTATCGAAAGTTCATAAATTAAATTGTGTATTGTATATTCCATTATTTCCAAAAAAATTATAACATCTAAAATAATTAAAAAAAGTTCAAAGACTTAGCTATAAAATTATATTACAACTTTTAGATCTGTTTTTTAATAAAGGTACTTATCATTTTTTTTCACGGAGTTTGATGAATATAATAAATTAATAAGTAATAACGAGAGCAAACAAATATGTAATGGCAATGTTGCATATAAATACATTCGGAATCGTGTAGATATGTTTATTAACAGTCGTTAAAATCTCCAAATTTGCGGATTCGTTTTATTACCGTTAATGGCCACCTACGACCTACGAGGTAAGTACCTACTTGTTTAAGTAAACAGTCCCAGCGCGTAAATTAAAATCTGTTATCAAAAGAATAGATATAATATGAAAATTAAAAAATCAGTTTACTTACAAGTTTGTAGGGTATATCGGATGGGGAAATTGAATTGGCTCCCAAATCTATAATGTGGGTACTATGGTCTATACGGGTAGGTAGCCGATCTTTTGGGTGAATTGGTATAAATGTTGTACATACGCGTCCTGCATAAGTCATAACTATTGTGGGTAAGTTGCGTACCTAAAATAGGTATAGAGATGACTAGTTATCACGACCATTATGTTTGAAAGTGATATTTTTAGTACATAGGTAGAGTTAGGTAGCTATGTAATTTTGAATAACATTCTCAGATTTATTAATTACCTTGTCTATATAATATTATAATGTCACAAATATTATGTTAAATACATATTATTTTAAATTGTATAGAATTATATTGGTTGAAATTTACCAAAAACTTATTTTATGTAGGTACTCAATTTTAGGTATTTATGATTATCTTATTTGATTGAATATATAAACAGTGTTAGTGCATTATTTTGGTTGGAGACCCATTGATAGGTAAAGGTATATTTTATTTTTCTGGTTTGTAAATCAATGCTAGGGTAGGTTGGGAATATTCAACAGATACATTGGGAATCAATTCAAATGTTCCCAAATTCATTTTCAGCAGGTTGGGTAAAAAGCGACATTTAATTAAAGCGTCAAACGGGTCGTTCAGCGTATATATTTATTTATTATATTATCGTCCTCGTCCAAGCAAAACATTTGGAGTCCAAAACCATGATTTCCGAGAATAAGTTTTCTATTCCATCCGAACATTAAAAAGTAATTTTTTGTTTGCATTTTTGGACTACCCATGTAAAATATTTAGTAGGTAACGTGGTAGAATCAGTAGACACAATTATTGTATGCAATTGATTTTAATATATTGAAAATTTCAAAAATTAGATTTTGATTAACTGCATTATATTGAAAAATAAAACAGGAGTGAGCATGCTTGGTGAATTATCCTGCATATTGCAATATGAAATCCATGACCCAACATTTTTAAACTTGGCATGTGTCGAGTAGACTTGAACGATACAGAGGTCAGTGGCTATACTGCTATAGGTCGGGTTATTGATCATTATGTTGACACATGACCGGGGGGGTAGGTAATATAATATGTTATTATACGCGGCGCGTAAGGGTTGTCTAGGTCACGGCAGAATACTTGTTGTAACGTCGTTGCCCCGTCGCCGATTTGGTCCAGCCGAATCGACGGTGCGTTTTTTTTTCCACTCGACCCAGGGTCTTCAACATGAACGTGTCGGACCGCGCCCGGCACCGGTCCGGGGCGACCGCCCATCGAGGTCATTCGAACGCGGCGTTGATCAGGTCGTCTTCGGATTTCCTCCTGGACTTGCACCGGTGGTCGTGTATCAGACCCCGGTAGGGTGCACACGACTCCAGATCGCATTCGCCGAAGCCGTTTTTCTTCTCATACGCGTAGTCCAGTGCGTCTCTCGAAGATTTGGTCGGGTTCAGCAGCGTCACCGTGTCACCGTCGATCATGTCCGCGTCGAAAAGTTCGTCGCCGAGCTCCGCGTACGCTACCGATCCGAATCTGAAACATTAAGGAACGAAACACACCGTTTAATAACATTACCGACACGGCTAAATTACTCAAAGTTTAGTCTTGAGCAGGTTAGGTTAGGTTAGGTTAGTCTTGACCATACGCCGAATTGTACTTATTTAGGCGCCGATACGGCGATCGCTGACATAACCTAACCTAACCGTGATGACAATAAAGTGGTTACATTTTAATTGTGTGTGTATTTCGATGTATTAGTATATTATTACGTCAGAAGTAATCAGCGTATATTAAAAATTACAATATATAGATACTCTGTATAATATTATTACAATGTATACAGCGAGATGTATTTAAAGTTATTGAGGGCTATTGTGATTTGTGACGATAAGGGCTAATTATATTTTCCACCCTCATCCCTACAACTAATGTCTATACACTTGTTACGGAACAAACACCTACAAAGTAAAGTAATTTCAACAATAACAAAAATTACAAAAATGCCGAGTGAAAATGACATCGATGATACCATAAGATCGATGTCACATTCATCCGTCAAACCAAAGACAACCACCAATGAAGATAGCGCTCGGAACGGTCAACGCGTATATATACGGGTACATTTCACCGACCGAACAAGACTTGAATATTTTCCGGAGCAATGGAAAAAAGCAGCAATTAAATGTTGCCAAAACCAGGCAAAGACCCCAAAATTCCTACTAACCACAGACCGATCTCTCTACTAAATACAATGGGCAAAACACTAGAGAAATTACTTCTAACAAGACTAAAAATATACATAATGCCGAAAATCCGACCAGAACAATTCGGGTTCAGATCGGAACACAGTACAACCGTCCAACTGATCAATCTTATTGATACAGTCACCAATAACCTTAATATAAGACATAAAACAGCAGCAACTTTTCTTGACATCCAAAAAGCCTTCGATAAAGTCTGGCACGAAGGACTTATCTACAAACTACTAGCAATGAATGTGCCCCATCAACTAGTCAACATCCTCAGATCGTTCCTCCAGGACCGAACATTCCAAATAAAAATTGGCGACACCTTATCAGCCTCCAGAAAAATAAATGCAGGCGTCCCTCAGGGGTCCTGCCTCTCACCACATTTATTTTCTGTATACATAAATGACATGCCAAAAGACAGCGAAGCAAACATTGCGCTATTCGCAGATGACACAGTGTTCTACGCTTCCGGAGCAACAAACAACGCAGCGATAAGAAGGGTACAAAAACAAATTAACCTTGCCGTTCCTTGGTTCAAGGAATGGAAAATAACTTTAAATCCCACGAAAACAAAGGCAATAATTTTTTCCAACCAATCTATGTACCAAGCACCATCATTAAATTTCGAAAACATACACTTAAGCTGGTCCAAAACAGTAAAATACCTTGGAGTGACCATCGACTCAAAACTTACCTTTACGGCTCACACAAAAACTGCGCTACATAAAGCATCCGGAGCAAGATATACTTTGTTTCCACTACTCAATGAGTTCAGCCCACTTCCTCTAAAAACCAAATTATATTTATATAACGCGTATATTAAACCAATATTACTTTATGCCACCCCCGCGTGGGCACAAAATATAACAAAAACAAGCTGGACTAAGCTGGAGGCGTTCCAGTCAAAAACACTGAGGATGATAACGGGCAGCGACTGGTTCATATCCAACCATGCAATAAGAATGTCATTGAACATGCCATCAATAGATGACACTATAAAAAGTGAGAGAACTAAAATAAAACAAAAAATAGGACACTCCAACTTCGAACACATTAACGAAATAGTAAACAGAAAAAGCCATAAAGAACGATTCAAGAGAAGACCACTGACCTAACCAATATTTAAAAAAAAAAAAAAAAAAAAAAAAAAAACTCCAATAAACTCCAATAAACAATCTATAAAACACTTCATACTCTCTGGAAGAAGCGGAAAAGCTTGAAACAGAGTAGGTCTATATAAAGCAAAGCAAGCCGACCGAACAACAGTACTCTTTCAACCTTCAAAACATCAAGACTTCAGAAATCAACACACTCTGCCGTCTATTGAAGGATAAGAGGAGAACGACCGACACCGAAGAGGAACGCCGCGACCGCCACAACCGGACACCGCTAGTGAAGACTGCCCCAAGCTCGACCGGTTCAGTCCAGACCATCGGACGACGACATAACCAGCCGCCGACAACGCCGACGGATCAAGACAGTGGAGCGGGGCTGACCCGATACGAAGCAGCGATACGAACTCTTGGCTACCAACCATCGTCCAAGGAGCCGACGACTATCCTCAAGTCCACCAACCAACCCGGAGTGCGTCAAAGAACCACGCATCAGCCCGTATACTCGGTGGAAATTTAAACGGTCCTTTTCAGGGCCACCCACGACGCACAGTCAGTCCCCCCAAGCGCGCCTGCCTAGGCCACGCTTTCCGCCCGGGCCTAGTGATCAACGCCACTTTTTCGAGCGGGCTGATCATAGCCACCCGGGCCGTCCCGATAATGTATAATAAAAACATACTATACCCGGTTGTGTAAGACCACCTCGTACCCGTATCAGATAGTCACGGGAACGTGAGTAGTCAAAACCCTCTTATTTGTAACTATATGTTCATGTAAAATAAATTGAGTAATTACACAAAAGCCCACTTGTATAAATTATTAAAGTGACGGAGCATCGGCCTCGGTAGCTCCGTTACACACTTCTACACGATGACATTTTGTACGTAATAATAATTTTATTATACATGTATATTGTATAATTGTATTGTTGTAGGCTTGTAGCTAGCCATAACAACTGACGTTCAACACAGTAGGTATTAACAGTATTAATGTTTCACTAAATATGGATAAAAACACGAACCAAATATATTGCCACCCACATACCATGGTCTATATATAGGTTGGTATACAGCTAAAACTTATTTTACATATTTTATGTTGTATGCGTTTTAAGTAAAACAATAATGACGTACTATTTCTATTAGATATTTATATTATTGTGTTTGTTAAGAACTAAAGTGATCTATTAAATTGCGTATAAAAAAAAATTCAAATTAAACCAAATTTATTTAAAAAAAAAAAAAACCAAAAATCTTTTCAAAATTTTGCTGCTTTTCAAAGTGTTCCACTCGGGAACCTTAGCAGACATTGCAGACTTGGTTAGCCCTAGGGTAAATACTACCCACTGGATGTCTGGATGTATATTACACCTCTATTGCTCGTAAACACATAAAATAAACGTGGCACACGCGTCGTGACACCTGAAACGTGTATTATATTCCTAAAACGTCCTACTCGCACACTTGCGTATCTATGTAGACGCATTATACAGTAGTGTGCAAGGGCAGAGAATAGAGATTTATCATGACACACACCGAAGCTGTATAACATTATATTATACTTATTTTGACGATTTTTGAGTATATTGCAGCGTTGCGTGCAGGTCCACTCGTCGTTTATTTCACCCGTCGTCGGAGAGCAGATAATAATAATATAGACTTCCCTCGCAATCTGTGTGCATCTGCTGAGGCGTGATACAACTGCAGGGGTAAACCAGGCCAAAATACCGGCTTCTTTTAGTTTTCCGCAAATGCATGGGAAACGTTTTCTTTTCACCGTCATCACTGTATAAAAATCGTTAACCCCGGTAATACAAGAACTGTCAAGTAATAAAAACCTGCCGAAAAAATGAAAACACTCCCGGGGCGATACATCAAATCAAATTATTTAGTTATATTATCATCGTACTAAAAATCACAATACATTATTACACATAGACATATTAAAGTGGCATAATTTGAGGGGGTGAGAAAGGTGGAACTTTGCCCCTGTCCGATTGTAACAGCAGTCCAATTGGCCGGTTATTGTTGGTGAAATTCCACGGCCATAATTTTTCTAATTTTGAGTAAATATAATATTGTGTAAACAATAAAAAAATATTGTGACAATAGAAATTAGTATTTAGTTTTTTAGTACAAATATATAGAAGCTGATACTATATAGAAAATAATACAAACACAAAATGATCGGTCTTAAATGTATCCATGATTTAAAAAAAAATCTCTTTAATAGAAGGTACCTATTTAACCTACCTATTTAAAATTTCTGATTTTTAAATTTGGTATGTTTTATCGGTCGAGTTTCATATCCTAATTTAATTTTTTCGACCCCTCGATAAAAATATAAAACTATGCCACATAAGTAAATACCATAATTATTTAGCTTCTACATGTCTTTTTTGCTACCTATAAAATTAGGCTGTTTTGCCTCATTCACGTCGTATAATTGTATAAAGTTATGTAAGATGGCCGATTCAAATTGTATCGAGATAAACGTTTGAGTGGAAATGAATTTGCTAACGAAGCTTTCTGTTTTTCTCGGTGCCTAAACTTTTGCACCCTTTTATTTAAAACTGAAATTGAGCTACTATTACTGTATAATATTATGAAGCAGTGTAGGTGCAATTGATATTTTTGTTCTCCTCTTACGGAGTCACAGTGAAACTATAAGTTTTTACTTGACGACGCGTATTTAAGTAGTTTATTTATTTCAACATTTATTTTGTTACAATAATCAAAGAACGCTTGATTACGGAGGACACCTACAGTGGCAGAAGTAATAGACATCGTTCACCCGTGTAGCGCCTCTGTGTATGCGGTATGTAGGTACAGAATTATATCATAAATGGAGTCTACTTTAAAGAGGTGAGTTTTTGATTCGCTCAGTAATTGTTTATAGCGTATATAAAAGGAACAGTTGCCAACAACGTCGAAATTGTGTAGAAATGTCAACGAGAGAGGCTTTATATTTCATTTAATCTCTTGTTTGAACGTACGAACAAATGCAACGTTTCTAAGCTGTAGGTTCACGGTCAGTATGAGTATTAAGTAATATTAAAATTTAAAATTGAGAAAGGAAATAAATAGTTATACGCTGTATAGGTGTTATACAGATATAGAATAGGATAGCAGGTATTAAATATTATATCACAACTTGTTCATATACCTAAATG